CCGTAATCTCAGCACTAACTTCAGAATTTTCGAAAAACCTACGAGCAGTATTGCCATCATTAGTATTACCGAATCCTGGTTTTGGTTTATCTACTATTAATCCAAGTGTACTTTTAAATTTATTCTGAATTTCGTGTGAACGTTGCTTTACACTAGCACTCCGAGTTTTTATTTATAAACCGTCCCCGATGTCTTCCAGAGCTCTTCCATTTCTCAGAAAGCCTTGACGAATATGCCGCAACTTTTATGGTTAAATCTCTTAAAGAATGCTCCGTTACTTCACTTAAATCATATTTTGATAGAACAAAATTTAATAACTCTTTATTTCTTGATTGTTTCGAATATTTCAACCAAACTTCGAAAAACTCAATTCTTTTTATGGTTATAACTAAATCTGAAAAAAAAATAAAATAAAATAGATGTGCACTGAATTCGCAATGGTTTTTTGTTTCGAGTGTTAACAGATACTCATGACTATAATATATATAAGATTTCAAGGGGTTACATGAGGAGACATATAACTTTTCCACCTCTGAAGTTGAAAACCGTTTTTTTCTTAATCATGGAATGTTAGACATACTAAAAATAATCAAATTGACAAAAGATTATAATCAAAAACTTCAGCTTACCTTTGAGTTCAGATTCCATCACAAAAATTAAGTAAAAGTGGTGACTTAAAGTTATATGAAGCGTAATATTCAAAACAAATTTTTCAAATAAATCAGTTCTGACTTCGACTGCTCTTGCTTACTTACTTCAATTACTCAACATATTAGAAGTGAAAATAACAAACAAGTGTAAATACCCCGTTATATTGGTCTTATGATTAATTACTTAATACAAAATTCTAGGAATAAAACTTTTGTTTTTGTTCACCTAGCTTGTTCTACACGAAACACTGTGCGATGGTGTGATTTTAAATCTCCAATTTACTGGTCTTCATTATGCAAATTACCTTCAAAAAGTTCAAACAATCATGACCATCTTATATATAGAAATGTTCAGCCCGTTTCTGTAGCTTTAAAACCACGTTAAGATTAAATCTCTACGATGAGCAGAACGCTAGATATAACGATTTGAAGAAGTCCGTAAAATGGACCTCAGTCGATTATATTTTATTTTCGTATTATGTAACCTGATCAACAAAATTTGCTCTACTGTGAATGATTAACTGGAATGTGAACAGCTGTTTAAGTTTTTGTTAACATTTCTAAGCTATATATTACCAGCTTTTATCTAACTTCAGTTGTAAGTCCGGGAATTTTGCAATCAATAAAAGATGGTGGCACAGGAGTCGAGAGATTTGAGTAATCCGCATGTCTGGTCCGATTTCGTTCAAATTTGGATTGCATATTACTTACATGAAAAAAAAAAATCCATACATTTTGCAGGTACATAGGTTGGACAGAAGTCGAGATATTTCGAGAACCCGTACCTATGGTCCTATTTGGTCTATGTGCAAAATGTATACATAGATATTACCTGTGTAGGTACATAAATTAAAATCGAATGAACATTTTTTTTATTTAGGTCAATTCCCACTAAAAATTGGAAAATCACTTACTTGCTCAACCGAGGTTAAATACCCTGGAGTTATTCTAGACAAGTTCTAGACTGGAAGCGAAACATTGTCCGGTAATTACCGGACCATTGTAGCGTTTTTTCGGCTCGGTGGCTTATAATCTCGCCCCCCCCCCCCCCTCACCTGGGCAGCTTATTCGCTATCTATTCAGACAGCCAGGTTGCCGCCATAGAATACAGGAAGACTCTCAACCTGCCGGCATCAAAATTCTCCTTGACTGTTTTATGGGTCCCTGGACATAGGGACATTCCATTCAACTGCCTAGCCGACGAACTGGCAAGGATGGGGACGGAAACATCTGAAGTAAATTCTGCTCAGAATGCGGCACACCTCTAACCTCCTGCAAACACAGATTAAAGGCTGAACTCATCGAGGAAGTAAATACCGGGTGGGCTGTGGAAACCACCCGCCATACTACTAGGGAAATCTGGCCAAAGGTTGATGTAAGGCGATCCATAGCTCTCACTCTGCTGGAATGCTCCTCTCTCAGATTATTAGTCGGGGTAATCACCGGACATTGCCTGATGGGCACACACGGAAAAAGGTTACGATACCACACCAACGATTTTTGTCGCAGTTGCAGAGACGAGGGACATTTTCTCTGCCATTGTCCCGCTTTGGCCAACACGCGCAACAAATTCTTCAAAAGGTATTTCCTGGATTGTTTAGCCAACTTAAACTCGGCGAGCGCCCTTGGCTTTTTGTGCTATATAAAAAATGGTCGGTGGTTCAATTGCAAAGGGGCCCACGTGTTCTCCGTGCTCTGAGCGGGGCAGCCACTCTAAAGCTCTGATTATGCATACTTCGCATAACTTCGCACAACCATTTGTATCAGTGCAATAAAATTGTAACTTAAGAAACTGTGAAGCAAAATCTAAACTAAACAGTTTGCTAAGTTTTTAAAAGTTCTGCTAATTTCTGGGTAATGGAATACATATAAAATACATACAAATATCATACGAAATTACAGTTTGAAGGTTATGCGAAGTTGTGCGAAGTTATGCGAAGTATGCATAATCAGACCATAACCTTAACTAACCTAACCATGTGCACTTAAATAAATATATAAATAAAAAAAATTAAAGGAGGAAGAAAAATATTCAAAAAATAATTTTCTAAAAATTAAATAAAATAAAAACATATATTTTTCTATTTAAAACATAATGGGATAGATGTGGTAGAAATGCAATTTAGGAAAAAAGTATTAGGGCCACTAGAAAACTGGGGAGTCTGCACACTGGCATAGAGCAATTTAGTCCCTAACCGATTCCGGTGGCGCATTCTTGATCCCAAACGCAGTTTGGGTGTCAGTGTTAATTTAACACGATGGCAGTCAAAACGTTGCTGCGCTCGCCAAACTGTTACGTGACCACTATATTACCGACATTAAATTCAACACAGGAATAATGCAGGTGTTCGCCTATGCTAACACTTGGCTGGCATCTGTTGGTAGACTACGAGCAACTATGCAAACCAGTTTAGTGAGTGCCCATGCTACGAACTGCCTTGCCAACTTGGAGGTACTACAGTGGCCTCAAATTAGGCGAGGTTTTATTTAATTTAATTTTATTTCATTACTATATGTTATATTTCCTCTATAATATTGTATAAAATTTATTTTCTCGATTTAATTTTTTGGTATTTTATTTTTCCTTCTACGGGTTAAACGGGGAATACAAAATAACAGGCTTATACGCAGAAGTATAGAGAGTCGAGTAATCGTAAATTCGCATGGAAGTACTCACCGAGCAATCGAACGATTATCTCAAGTTCTGCCTGGGATTCATATGTATGTATCGAATTTGAACTCGAATAACCTTTGACCGAAATGACTTTTAGAAAAAATGCTTCAGACCTTTCTGGCAGAGCGTTCGATTCTCTACAAGAATACTTCGTTAAATATAAAAATCAGAATTAAAAAAAATGCTGTGTTATTCTCACGGAAAATCGACAAGTTCAATGCGGACATTTTAAATATTCATATTAATGGTTCATATTTTCTAAAAAAAAAAAGATTCCGAATCACCCTAATGTGTATCGGATATACATTCGAAATTGGTTCGAAAAAAGAAATGAAAACTATGGATAGTAACAAGAGAGAAGGTGAAATCCAGCTCATTCGAAGAGAAATATAAGACATTCACTCTCACGCATTAAAATTTTAATTCGATAATGGCTGGATTTCGAATTCATAAGGAAGGTTCCGTTTTGCTGATGAATAGCCTAGTTCTCGAATCGGATACTAACCTATGCCACATTCGTTATCGAAGGTGAGCCTCGAAAAAAAAAGAATCGTTTTCCAATCATTTTCGAATTGTTAGTCCAATATTCATTGGATAGATTTATCAGCTTTTTAACTTTACAATTTTTATTTACAAATATTTTCTTAACAAATCGTTTTTATGATAACTTACTTTTTAATTTTATTCGTAAGAAAACTAGTTCTGCATCAAATTTCGCAAGACTTCATACACACATAAGTATGTACATACGTACAAACCGTGACTCAGACAAATGTTCTCGCATTGATTTTTTATATTTAATGTTTTCAACATTTTTAACGTTAAATTTATTTATTTTTGTTGCTTTTCTATAAAAATATAGTCCAAGCTTTAGCCAAAACTATATAGGTATATCAGAGTTTAAAATTTTATACAAAATTTAGGAAAATTAATTAAGCGTTAATAATGGAAAAAAGTGCAAAACTACCTCACCAAAAAAAAAAATTAAAGAAATGTTAAAAACCTGTGCGATTTCTTAGCCGCTTGAAACTTGCACTTCCTGTGACTATAAAGCTGCATACCCATAAATGTTCTAAAGACTCAGATTAAAAAGTTGAAATTTTGATGAAAATTAATTTAATTTTCCTCAAGTTTGAAACTGATATACATATCGTCGTTTAAAGTACAAAACCGCATATCGTCATTCTGCAAAACTGCGTAACTGACATTGGCTGCCAAAAATTGAGTTTGCTCACACAAGCTCTTGGCCAGAAATTCGATTACTTTATAAAAAAGAGAACCATTTTGAAATATGAGTGTTTTTACGCTCTAGAAAATAATTTCTACAACTTCACATACGCGGTTTTGCAATTTAAACGACGATATATGGTTTTGCCTAAAGCTTGGACAATATTTCTATAGAAATACAACAAAAAATAAATTAATTAAGTTGAAAAACCTTGTGAATATTAAAAAAAAATGAAATAAAAAATCAACACGTGAACACCAGCGTGAGTCACTGTAGATTTTTATAAACTACATAGTATATAAGTATGAGGACATGAGAGCAGAAGTGGCTCCTTGAAAGTAGTTTCAAGTGTGATAAATTTTAAAGTAAAAGTCGCTTATTCCTTAATTTTGTAGTAGATTATAAAGCTATGTAAGGAATAAGCGACTTTTGTTTTAAAATTTATCACTTGAAACTACTTTTAGTAAACAAAAAAAAAATTGGGTTAGACCACTTCTGCTCGCATGGCCTCATTCATGTATACCCTGCAAACCAAAGCTTCCGAAAGAAATCAATGAATTGGTAGACACGAACTCGTAAGGAACTTTCTGTACGGTTTCTTTAAGAACATTCCGAAAAAAATATAAGCATTAATTTCATTTCTCTACTAAGTAGATAACTCTGAAAGCATGGTTTGCAGCATGCATAAAACCCTATGCATGTATGTATGTTGTAGTTGTAACTTAAATATTTCTCCAAATTCCACTCAAATCTTTCTTCTAGTACATATGTATGTATATAAGCAATGACTCAAATTAGGCCTAACTTAATTTTAAATACATAATTAATTCTATTAGAACTATCACAGGCATTGAAAAAGCATTATTGAAGTCTCTTTGGGGTGACAACAACAACAACGATTCGTATTATTTAAAGTAATGTGACCATCGCTAAGCACTTCAACGTCAAATTTGTACGGCTGCGCAGACGAATGGCAACAGTGCGTCTCGAGTAGTCGCTAGCGACTTAGGAACTTTTACAGCGGCTCACATAATTCTCCCAAGCGGCCATATCAATTAATAGCTGCTACTACATATACATATATGTACATATACTCCATGTCAGTTCATTGGCATATTGACCTCCCAAAGTTTCATTTGATTGTCGAGCACTTCGTTGAACCAACTCCGCTTTTCGGGCACATCTCTAAATATAACATTCAATGACTTCAAATCCAATTGCAGAATCGCATCGTTGCCCAGCAAATTGTCCAATGCCTTTAGTAACGTGCCATTTCCATGTAATTTCAGTAGCGTTACGTACTTCACCACATAGTATTCGTATTGCAGTTTGCGGCGCGCCCAACGCTCCACTGTTGCATTGGCGCTGGCCGACCGTATTTGCCCTAAATGTACGGCGTGCCATGGCGCGAAGAAATCGTAAAGTTCCTTTTTCGAGAGGCTATTCAAGCCCTTCGTTTTGATGCGATCTCGAATTAGTTGATAGTTTTTGCGAGTGTAAACAAACACCTGATGGAAAAAGAAAACAAAAAATGCACTTAATTTTGTAACGTTTTTTTTTTTGTTTTTCGTTATATATTTTGCAGCTTTACACACCTGATACAAGGAATTCCCCGTCGTGTAGGAGTTAATGTAGTGTGTACCGCAGGACTCCATAAATTTTATGGCGCCAGTCACATTGCCCGCTGTTATGCCGCCAATGCGTTCACGCACATCATTCTCCAATGTCTGATTGAGCGGTATGTCGCCTCTAAATTTGCCCACCTCACGAAAGCGCACCACACGCACTAATACATATGAATATTCGCCCATAATGTAGGAAGTGTTGATACCCAGCTTCTTTGCTGCATTGTCGGCGAACCAACCGCCAGTGAAGGCCTCCCATGGCTTGTCCAGCCGTTCAACAGTAAAGTCACGAAAGTATGCCTGATACAGTTGGCGACGATTATCGCAGAACTCCATATGAAAATCACCGTGAAAGATGCCTGGCGCATTCTCTTCTCGACTCTCGCTCAATGAACTCAGATCCTATGGAAAATGCGGTATAAAATTAATGAAGAAATAAGTATACAGAGAAATCTAATCTGCAATTTCGGAAAATTTCCGAGGCGTGTGTGATTTATGTCTGATTTCGATTGGCTTAGTAAGGCTAAAAGCAATTACGTAGTATACCAAACTTTGTAAGAATGTTCTTCGCCATGTTGGTGCAGCTATGAGATAGCAGGCAATTAGTAACGGACACCCGTGGATGTCCTCAAGAAGAAGTCCTGTAGAAATTCTGGTTAAGCTGCACCGCTTGGTTCGTGTGGTCGCATATAAATATTAAAAAGTAGCTGAATGTAAGCAGCATGTTATGCGGAGATTACTGAAGCTATCTGAGTGCCTTAAGACCATTCATAAATGATCCCTTCGCAAAACGTCTGCAAGTTTGCAATTCTTGAAATGGAATCTTTTAAAGCGACAAATCAACGAAGGATGGAAATACTGGCGCCGGCGATTTTGGACCTAGCTCTGGGAAAAGTGGGAAGTTCCCTAATTGAAATCTGTGCTCGCGAATGTCTTTCATGTTTGTGTTTGTTTCACTAAAATTGCGGTTTTGGCTCAATTTTTTTTTTAATAAATATTTACCTGTATACATATGTACCTTATAAATAGACTTCGTTGGCTCCTTGAACAACCACTTGTCGACTTCAAAACTATCATTGTACGGAATAACACGCATCGATATGCCCAAGTAGCCATAACGAACGAAAATGTTGATGGCCTTGCCGATACGCAACTGTGACTCACGTGTGCCGCCTAAGGAAATGTTGCAGGCTACGAAAATTAGTGCCACCAGCCAAAGTAGACCATTACCCAGGTTCATCGCTCATTCGGCTTAACGTTTACATAGAAACGTATTTGCTATAGTCCAAGTAACTGTAAAAGATTGATAGATAAAGTAAATATGTAAGTATCTAAACATGTACGAGCATTATATGTACATACATATGTACATGCATACGCATATTCATATACATACCCCGCAGAAAAAAAATTATCAATTGATAAAAAATAACCCACTTGTAGTTAGCTTTTTTGCTGGATGTCTACAAAATATTTAACTAGTAGTTAGTTACAAAAAGCTAACGTGAAACTCGTTGACAAGTAATGCAGAAGTAATACAGTATATTGTTTTCTTTAAACGCGTTTCTATTTAAATATCCTGCACTTCGCAAATACTTTTTCGAATTGAGGACAAATGAAAGGAAGATCGAAATTTCAAATTATCAGTTTGAAGTTACGTCTGACGGAGTTCGAATAGGAGACCACCTACAGCAGAATATGTAAACATATATGAAATGTAATAAAATAAATAAAGGAATTAAATAAAAAAATAAATAAAAAAATATTTTGTTTTTCCTATTGATATTTTATGTCCAAAAGTAGTTAATAACATCAAATGCAGAGCTAACCACCTTTGACTATTTCGCCATAGAAATGTAGTTAGCTTTCGTCAATGAAAATATACAGATAATAGCGACTTTTAGCTCCTTCCTAACCAACTTAAAGTTTGCTTATAGTTAGATACATTTCCTGCAGGGTATGTACATACATACTATTATAACAATCTGTGCGTACATACATACATGCCACCATAAAAATATTGTTGATCAAATGTTGAGATAATTTTGAGGTCACTTTGGTCAAGTCAAAAGTTATTGTATTTCCCACCAAATGTGCCAAATTAAGTACCAGTATTTACATAGATAAACAGATAGCTGCAATAAATTTATTACATTTTATCGAAAAGAAAAAAAATAAACGATATCATGCTTGTTTCAAAAAAAAAAACACTCACCATGGACGGCGAGCGGTAATATGTTTACATACTTAACAACAAATTTTTGTCGCACATTTGCTGCAAGAGTGTCATAATCCCAAAAAAAAAAAACTGAGTTATGTATACAGAAATGATCTGGTTTTCAATGATGTGTAAAAATTTTCCTAGCCGATTCCACACAAAACTTCGCTGTTATCGTTGAGTGTAAGCACGAGCAGCTTTTCTTGCCTTCCTCCGTTCGGCAGAAAATTTTTAACTGCTTCTTGTGTAACCCAACAGAAAATTTTTAATTGCTTCTTGCTTTGCAAATTCAGGCCAATTTCTGGGCTAAATCGAGACGACTTTAGGGCCATTTCGGGACTATTCAGGACTAGTTCAGGGCCATTTCGAGACTAGTTCAGGACCTTTTACGGACCGTTTTTGGACTAGTTAGGTATCATTTTGGGACATACAGGACTTGCTCGAGATCACTTTGGGACTAGTTCACGACTTTTTCGACCGTATCGGATCCATTTCGGAACCATTTTGGGTCCTATTTACGACTATTTCAGGAATAGTTTTTGAACATTTGAAATTAATAGTTTACGACTATTTGAGGTTCATTTCGGAACTAGTTCAGTATCATTTCGCGACTAGTTCAGAGCCATTTCGGGATAGTTAAGGACCATTTTTGGATCATTTTGATACAAATAAGAGATAATTCGGGGCTATTTTGGAACAAGTTCGGGAATATTTCGCGGTAGCATGTAACTAGTCAGACTTTTGGACATTATTTCGTGAGGCCCTAAAATGGCTGATCCAAATTATAATTCATGTTTAATTAATTAAGTTGAAGATGGTATAAATTTCAGAAAAAATGTTTTTTTTTTTTATAAAAAAAAATATCAAATAAAAACCAATTTGCGCATTCAAGTTTGGGTCCGATCGCGGCATTTGAAACACACATAATCAGAACGGAAGTATTCAACCAATTCATTTCAACAGAATAATATATATATTTATGTATCAACGTATACTCTTCCTTTTAGTTAATGATGTTTTATGTTCACATATTTAATCATCTATAATCAAAGAAAATAAAACAAATAGAAATGCAATTAGTACGGCGTACAGTCATATACATACATATAAGCTGGCATACATAAATACAATCATATGTACATATGTATGTATGTATGTATGAACACACTTATGGCTATACTATGTATAGATGTACAGCTAAACAGAAGTATATATTAAAATTGGCCGTGAATCGTATGGCGCGGCGTTAAACTTGACATTCGTTGAACCATCGACATCGCAACTGCTATCGCCAGCGCCATCATCATCAACATTCATAATTGTCGTCATAAAGTTTTTAAAAGCATAATTAAAACACTGACATATTAAAGCCGACCGACAACCAAAAAAACACTAACCTCAGTGAATTTCCGAAAATGGTGGCAACAAGCTAAAACCACAACAACAATATTATTAACAACTCGCGACCACTTTTAATTAAATAGCAAATACATTCACACTTAACATACTTCAAAAAAGCGGTTATATTTAAAAAAAAAAGGATAAAAGAAGTAGTAAACAATGCAGTGTTGTCTTTAAAATAATTTCAACCAAAGCGGAAGAGTTTTGGTTAAGATGATTGCATATTATTAACGATTAAAAAATAATGATGCACAATGTTAACCAAATATTTAATACACTGCAAAAAAAACTTTTCTTTTATATTTTTAAACATCGTAACTGAAATGGAAAAAATCGTTATTAATATTTTTTGAAATTTTTTCATAAAATGGTGTGGGACTTGTAATTCGATGAAATCCATCATATCAATCAAAAACTGAATTTTGAATTTTTTATTGGTTATGACTTTTTGTATTTCAGCGACGGTGTTTGTTACGTCTTTTTGCATTTCAGGTGACGATACATACGTATGTATTTATATTTATTCGACTGTGTCAAATAAAACGGCTATCTATTTTTTTCAGTCCCATTTGTGCAGCTCACAAAAGAATAATTTCCCTTTTTTAGGGTCCGTACATTTTTTTTTTTCAAAGTACGGAAGAAAATTACTGAAACCGTCAACGAAAAAAAAATTTAATTGCGAAAGTTCAAGGGCAAGTCTAGAAGGTGAAAATATGTGGCTGAAATTTTTAATTTTTTTGTGACCCACAACGAAATTTTCATATGAGGCCGAAATAAAATAAAAATCCTTTCAATTGACAGTATAATATTTATATTTTGAAATTAGAAAATTATGGGAAGACGTCGACCTATCATGACTTTACATTAGGGATGGAAGTTCTATCCGGTTTTTAATATCCGTAATCCGGATATTCGAAAATATCTGTTGAAAACATATGAATCGAATATCCGGATATCAAAATGAACGATATTAACCGAACATCGGGATTTTACCGGTATACACGAATATTCTAATGGATATCCGAAGACACAGATAGTCCCAGTCTTACTTCACATGCTACATTCGTCGGCTGAGTGGGGGATGACCCTATTCCGGCTGCCAGTTGAAGAACGCCTTATAAATTACATATATGTACATATGTTTCTCTCAACACGTGGTTTGGTAATCCCCACTTAATTTGATTTTAGTTACGAAATCTTTTAAAGATTCGATGACTTTTTGACGAGCTTGGATAGACCCACCAATACAACTTCTTAAAGTAGTTTCAATTGACGCAAGAATATTTTGGTGCCCCCTGTCGGCGGTTTTCTTTTCGTTTCAAATCAGTACGGCAGGGCGCTACGTTCCACATGCGAGAACGATTTGAGGTTGTGGTTATTTCTGGCAGAGATGACCCGAATTTGCAACTACAATCGTACGACTATTTTCCTTGGGTTTAAGCCCCAATCGACTACTGCCCTTTAAGCAGTAATGACCCAGGGGAAATTGCTCAAATTCAGCCGTAGCTTGGCCGCGAAGTGATTAGGATCACTCGGATCAGTGACGCCGTAAAAAGCCATGTCAGGCCTTTAGACGCTTTTACATTCCATACATAATAGCATTCGGGAGCATTTTAAATAAAAAAAGATTGCCGTTGATACCTGGCGTTTTATTCCATTATATTTCAACATTTAGCCGCCCTTATTTGAGACGCCTTAAAATCTACCATACATAGATTATTTTCATGGCCGTATTGGCAGAAGTATTATCAAATTCCCAAATTTGTCATTTACATTTTTGTCATTTTTTTCCTGTGCAATGAGGTGCAATGCAATACGAAGCAGGCAATATCCGAAAGAGTAGCGTATAGCATGCAAATTGTTTCCTAATGCAACTAAAAGCCAACCTAAAAAAACTGCACTTAGCGCATTGCCAGACAATTATTAACAGCTAACACAGTAATATTGTAAAATTAAAATAAAAGCGAGACTAAAGACCAAAACAAAGTAAGAGGAAAAGCTGCAAATTCGATTGTAAACAAACTGCAGTAACTTGATAAATAAAACCGGTTGCATTGCAAGCAAAATTCCTGCTCATATTGTATGCGATATATGATACTTAGATTTGTAAATATGTAAGCACTATGTACATATATATCGTCGCTGAAATACAAAAAGTCGTAACTAATAAAAAATTCAAAATTCAGTTTTTGATTGATATGATGAATTTCAGCGAATTAAAACGCCCACATCATTTCATGAAAAAAAAAATTTTAAATATTAGTCACGACTTTTTCCATTTCAGTTACGCTGTTGTTACGTGTTTTTGCATTTCAGGTGACGATATGTAAGTACATAATATGTTATACGGATCAGCACTGCAAAGTTATGCCACGAAACGCATGCGCAAAGCTCGGTAAACAAATAAAATAAAAAAATAGCAGTGCAGCAGAGCATAAAGCTGCGGGAGAAGTTATAAATATCAGAAGTCTTCTGGTTTCCGATTACAATGAGTCCTATGGTTATTAGGACTGGCAAAAATATGCATAAAAAATAGATTTTAAGCGCTTTAAAACTCGATAAATTGACAAAATATGCTTTTAAATATACAAAATCAATGAGTTTCATCATTGCAATCTCTGCAAGTAATGAAAAAATAAGTATATTTCTAGATACGCTTTTCTTAGTGGTTAAT